TTGGTTGGGTGTGGTCTTGTCTATGGAAAGGTTGCCTGTTCAATTCCTGGTCAGGGCACATGCCCAGGCTTCAGGCTTACAAGTAGGGTAAGCATGTCAAACTCGCAGTCCATGGGAATATTTTTGTGGCCCAGCCAATATAATGGTATGTAAGAAACGTTTTAATAAAAATTTTGTAACTTAATTTTTACAATATCTTGTTAAACATAATTATTAATAACGAACTACAACGTTCACTAATGACTGATTACTATAATTGTGTTGCATTCATTTCCCTTACACGCAGGTGCACCATTTCTCTCCACTAACACTAGCAGCGAATAGTTTAGCAGCTGATTGCCACCTCATTAGTCTTGGACTGAATTGTTTGGTGTGTGCAATAGAAAATATTTCGCTTTCAGAGAACAAGAGAAATAGGTTTATTTGCGTTACGCTTATTAATTTGTGCAGTTATTTAGTGTCTGGTAAGTTAATGTTGAAGAAAAAATATTAATTGTTATTAAAATGTATTATGTTAACAATTACTCATTTGTTTCAGCCCTTTGTATTCAGCATGTCTCTTGAAATAAACCTACATTTCTATGAAAATTGAAGCTTTTGTCTTTTTGTGGCCCACATAAACTTAAACCTTATTTATTTGGCCCGTGTTAGCCTTTGAGTTTGATATGCTTGCAATAGGGGGTATGCAGGAGGCAGTCATTCGATGTTTATGCTCGCACATAGATGTTTCTCTTCCTCTCCCTTCCTCTCTCCTTACAAGTCAATAAAAAAAAATCTTAAAAATAAAAAAAACTGGGACAAATGTTACATAATAAAGGGTTAACGTACTTCCTCTGTTAAAAGGCCTCGCAAATTATTTTTTATAAAAGGAAAAGAGAGCCCGGCCGGTGTCGCTCAGTGGTTGAGCATCTAACTGTGAACCAGGAGGTCACAGTTCGATTTCAGTCAGGGCACATGCCCGGGTTATGGACTCGATCCCCAGTATGGGTGTGCAGGAGGCAGCCGATCAATGATTCTCTCTCATCATTGATGTTTCTCTCTCTCTCCCTCTCCCTTCCTCTATGAAATCAATTAAAACATATTTAAAAAATTTTTTTCCCTTTCCCATAGCTCCTATATAAGAAATAAAGGAAAAGAGGAATAATGAACCCCTTTATAGAGGGGGAAAAAAGGGTAAAGGATTCTTTTTTGTGAAACTCATTTCACAGGAATTTTGGCCTCCATATTAGACTGTCTCCATTGGATGGCTCATAGCTTCTCCAAGAGGAATTTAAAAAGTACTTCATGGGATTATTCTGAGGCTTAAACGCAATAATTAATGTAAAATGCTTTGTCAGTTATCTGGCACATAGTAGTCATTCAATAATTGAGTCCTATCACTGTTACAGAAAGGTAGAATAAAGTTAAGAGCTCATCAGTTAACAATGTTGAAACAGAATAAGAATAATGTTTTAATGGTTTGGGATAATGAATCCTCTTTAGTTTAAAGTGTAAACTGATAAATCTTTATGGAGGGCAATTTAATAATAATGTCAATGTTCATACTTTTTGATCATTTTAATTTCTTGGAGTTTATCCTAAGGAAACAAACAAGGATAAAGGTATGTATGGAACAAGGATTTTATCATAGCATGATTTACAGGAATAAGGAATTTTGAATACATTTTTTAGTCCATTTGACAAAACACAATATAGACATTGAAAGCCATATTTATGAAGAATATTTAAAGATGTAGAGAAATATTCAATGTTTGTGATACAATTTTTTAAGAAAAAGCAAGATACAGAAGTCTATTAGTTGGATCTTAATTTTTCTAAATAAGTGGTATAACATAGCAAAAGTAGATTGGATAGAAGACCAGGGAAGGTCTTCATTGTTGGTGTGAGTCACAAGTTAATTGTTACCAGTTAGTATCTTCATAAAACAAAGATGCTGCCTCAGCCTGTGCTGAAGTCCCATTGGGTTTCCCCAATCCCTTTCTCCCAGCCTACCTGGTGTGGCACCGGGGACAATGGCTCTTTTAAGTGAGGGAATACATGTAGTGCCCCTATGTCCATTCAGAAATTCAGCAAACATTTTTCAAGTACCTGCTATATGCTGGGCACTGTGCTAATATCTCTAACCTTATCTTATTTAATTAAACATATTCTTCATAACCTTAAAAAAAGAAAAAGAAGTAGACTGGAAGGAAATACTACAAAAATTTTAATAGCAATTATCTTTGGTGGGCTTAGTGATTTTAATTTTTTCATACATTTCTACAGTAAAGCTGTTATACAATAAACTTATGTAGTACAATAAACTTATAGAATAAATTTCCATCACCAATTTATTAACTTCTGCTCTTTCTTTTCTCTTATTAAAAAAAAAACAGCAAATACTTTCTCTAAAAAAGAGAGTGGTATGTTTTTTAGGTTTACTCTTTAGGAAAGGAGATCAATATGAGATAGAGAAAATGGGGATAGTTTAGGGGCTTGAGTGAAGCACTTTACATTATTTAAGAAAGAAGGTAAATTAATAAATTACAATGTGTTCTCTTGAGTTTTCAGAATTTTAGAAGTCTAACTTTAATCTGTTCATTCGAAGTATAGTAGCACAATAATCAGGAAGATAAATATGTCTATTATGAAAAGTCAAGGAGAGCCAGAAGATTAGATCAAATACCTGGATAACATAATTCCAGAAAAAAAGTATTAACAGAAAGAGGTGTTACACTTGAAATTGGTTTCAAGCTTGCTGTAGGATTAAAAAGAAAGAAAACGATTCTTATGAGCCAAGAAACTCAGCTTCCAACACAGCATCAAAGAGTTTAATATTCTAAGTAGCTGCTCATAGTTGGAAGAAAACGGAAAATTTCATGGAGAAGGTCTTTGAAAACTTTTCCAAGTATAAACTCTTTTATGTGTTTAATTATTGGGATTTGGATGGAGTTAAAATAAGTAATTATCATGGTGGCTTTCACAGGTTAGTGGTCTGCAAATAAAGGAATAAGCTCATACATAAAAGGCAAATTATAATTGTTTTTCATGTGTTGCAATACATATATTGACATTTAAACACTGGTTGAAACTTTTTTGTTTCTTCTTTGTTTACTATAAATTTCCATGTAAAGCATTTATAGCTCTATACAATGAAGGCCTCTCACCACATGATTTTCTATCATGTGACCTCAACACAACCTTTTAAAAAACTGTATGTTGACCCAACATTTTTTTTTTTTAAACAAAAATCACAAATTCTATTGGAGTCCATAGTAGAGGCCCTAGATTTGGTTGGTGGTAGAGGACAGTGTTCAGAGATCTCATCAGGGAGGATAGGACATTTCGTGAGGTGTCAGGTTAATCATGCTAAGGACTTCTGACCTTGAGACAGATCATCTTGCCATGAGTGCAAGACTGGAGGGAAGGTGGCCCGTTAGGGGTGGTTGCAGTTATGTAAGGGCAAGGGTGATAGCAGCTTGTGAGATATACTCTTGTTTCCTGATTCCGTAATATTTGTCAGTCATGTTTAAGAGTGATATTAGTCTAATACAGCTGTTTTCAACCTGTCGGTCGCGACCCCTTTGGGGGTCGAACGACCCTTTCACAGGGGTCGCCTAAGACCATCGGAAAACACATATATAATTACATATTGTTTTTGTGATTAGTCACTATGCTTTAATTATGTTCAATTTGTAACAATGAAATTGGGAGTCACCACAACATGAGGAACTGTATTAAAGGGTCGCGGCATTAGGAAGGTTGAGAACCACTGGTCTAATATCTTCTGGAGGTCAGGCATCATATATTTTTACTCTAATATATCTGAAGAGCTGTGTGTCCCAGCCCATGCTTTTGTGGCACAGCATGATGATGTCTTATTTCCAGTGCACACATACTTTCTTTCATTTACTGTATCTTATGAATTCAATATTTTTATTTCCCTGGTAACTTAATGGGAAAGTAAAGTATATTAATTATCTTGTACCATGAAAAGTTCACCCCTTACTTTAGATATGTTATTCAGGATACTTTCTCTTCCATTGTTTTGTTTTTGTTGCTAGTACTTGACACTCTGATGACATTGTTACATTAAGGAATGGTAAGGAAATTAGGGCCTGTTAAGTTTGCAGCTGCATTTTATGGTCATTAAAGAATGTTGATCTCTACAAAACATACTAGGATTAATTTTTGAAATAGTGAGGAATCTTCCCTCCCAAATTTAGCACAAGGTAAAGAGGATGGTGGGTTGACGCTGATGAAGAGCCTGCTTTTCAATAGTGAAGAATGAATGAAAGGTGATGCTTTAAATACAGCTGACACATTAAAGGGTATTATTAATGGTCTCTTTTTGAACTCACCACTTTTATTTGTATCCCTGTTAAGAAATTTATTATTTCTTTTTCCTTGTATTTATTAATTCATTTAAAAAGTATTTGTCTCCTTATGAGACATGCCATATGTAACATGCATAAGTATTTACCCACAGGCAGGTTAGAGTATAGTTCTGTTCAACACACATGCTAAATAACATGTATTATAGTTAGACATGTATAGGCCTACCTAGTTGCAGATGTGTGTGTCCTACAACTACTAATTTGTTGCATTGCATTCAGTATGCAGTAAATATTTTTGAAGGAAGGAAAGCTGGACAGTTGAAAAGATTTCCACCTCCACTAGAAAAAAGCAGCAGATAAATTTGTTGACTCCTCATTGGAGTCAGCATCATTCCTTTGGTTCAGCTTAAGGCTTACTGTTCTTAAGTTAGCATAATATAGATGATGCTAGATCACCAAAAGGACTGTTTAAAATTCACTCAATCAGCTAAATGTTTTGCCTCACTTTAAGGTGTTAAATCTCATTTCAAAGAAAGTCGTGTGTGTGTATGTTTGTGTGTATAAACATCTGTCTTTTTGTCAGTAATATTGAAGAAGACTGATTTATTTAGCAAAAAATTGATTTTTATTTGTAATTATTATTACCTGTTATAACTTGGGACTCATTTTTTTTTTTTTTTATAGGCGAGTGGCCGAACTTTTTATGTTTGATTTTGAAATCAGTGGAATCCATCTAGACAAAGAAAAGGTAAAACTTTCCTTTCTGTTTTTTGGGTTCTCTTGTTTTACTGATATTTAATTAGTATCGTTGTTGCTACAGTCCTCATGTACAGCTTGAATCTGCATATTGTAAAACTGTTTAGATCATTTATATTATGAAATTCTCCTACAGGTTGTATTTGAATGTAGTGCTCTCCGGAAGTTGGCCTGTCACCACGATAATTCAGAATTAAAAATGACTTTAGACAGTAGGGATGTTTTAGATGTCTTGGAATTAGGATGAGATGGGCAGTATCAAGAAAGACAAGGCAAATGAGTGAGAAAACTGACACCATTGAAGATTAAGATCTGGAGGTAGAAGTACAGGGATATCATTAAGACCTTTACATAGGTATATTTATTCATACTATAGATGTCTTTGACAGATCTACACAGTTTTGTTCCTGAGGCAGTATGTATGGGTTGTGCAATGTTTAAGCTGATGCTAGAGAGGCCTTCTATATTGTCAAGACTCCTCATTTTACAGGTGTGGAAACAATACAGTGTTTTATTCAAGTTCCCATCCTTAGTTTCCAGGACTCCTAACCCTGGCCACTGCTCCTTCCAGAACATGACATCTTAAGAAACTGAGTGCCTCATTTCAATATCAAGCTCCAGGTTGGAAGAATGGGGGTGACTTGACCACCACTGAAAGACTTGCTTGCTCCACAGTAACTCCCCTACATGCCTGCAGTCTAGACTACTATAGTTATGCTTTATTTAAAAAAAGTTTTTCCTAATAAGTATAGTATAAAGCCACTTAACCGATTAATAGAGATTAGTTTATTAGAGTATCTTGAAAAATAGAGGGCCAGGTTTTGGGATATATAACATATAGAATAGATTATGTCATTTTGATTGGTGCAGGGTTTGAGCAATGCTGAGGCTGCTCACACATGACTCCTGGCCTAACCCTAAGCCCAGCATCCTCAAGGCTAATAGGCTATACTGTAAATTCACATTGCCTAGAATGGACACATTTTTCCCCTCTCCAAGTCAATTGTTTACTTCCCTGTACAGTGATACCACCATTCTCAGAGTCATTCAAATAAAATTTTAGAGTCAGTTTGCATTTTTTCTACTCCCAATATTCTCATATCTTAATCGGTGACCAAGTCCCTGGATTATTCCTTTAGAGCTTCTCCTGCATCTGTCTGCATCCCCCAAAAAACTCATCTTGATCCTTATCACCAAATCCCTGGGCTGTCCTACAGTCCATTGACTTCCTGACACTCATTATAATTAACAGTGGTTAAGCATTTGCTATTCAAAGCATATATCGCTCATCAGATCTTTTTTTTTTTTAATAAGGAACGAAAGGCAGATTTTCTTTTTTTTTTTTTTAATATATTTTATTGATTTTTTACAGAGAGGAAGGGAGAGGGATAGAGAGCTAGAAATATCTATGAGAGAGAAACACCGATCAGCTGCCTCTTGCACACCCCCCACTGGGGATGTGCCTGCAACCAACGTACATGCCCTTGACCGGAATTGAACCTGGGACCCTTCAGTCTGCAGGCCGACGCTCTATCCACTGAGCCAAACCGGTTAGGGCTCATCAGATCTTGATAACAGCTTTGAGGCTGGTGCTACTATTATTCCTGTCTTATAGATGAAGAAACTGAGACATCTAGAGCAGGGGTCCTGAAACTTTTTAAACAGGGGGCCAGTTCACTGTCCCTCAGACCGTTGGAGGGCCGGACTATAGTTTAAAAAAAAACTATGAACAAATTCCTATGCACATGCACATATCTTATTTTGAAGTAAAAAAACAAAACGGGAACAAATACAATATTTGTATTTGCATGTGGCCCGCGGGCCGTAGTTTGAGGACCCCTGATCTAGAGGATATGTGATTTATACAAAGTTACAGAGCTAGTAGGTTGCATATTACGCACAGATGGGGCAAAAGTAGTTTTACTTTTATATTATGGAAAATAATACAAAAATTAATAATACAAGAATAAACTCTGTGTTTCATGTACTTACAACTGTAAATCTACTTTTGCCCCACCTGTATGTCAAACACTCTAGAGCAGGGGTGGGCAGAGGGCCACAAGGGGTTCTTAAAGTGGACCGGAGGGCCGGAACAAAAGCATGGATGGAGTGTTTGTGTGAACTAATATAAATTCAAAGTAAACATCATTACATAAAAGGGTACGGTCTTTTTTTTTTTTAGTTTTATTCATTTCAAACGGGCCCGCGGGCCGTAGTTTGCCCACAGCTGCTCTAGAGCCTATTCAGCTAGCCCTTCCTACAGTTCTAACTGGCAATGGTTAGTCTAACCCAGTGGTCGGCAAACTGCGGCTCGGCAAACCGCGGCTCGCGAGCCTCATGCGGCTCTTTGGCCCCTTGAGTGTGGCTCTTCCACAAAATACCGGCTCTTCCACAAAATACCGACTTCTGCGCATGGGCCACGAAGTTTCAATTGCACTGTATGTGCGTGCCCGCACGTGGTATTTTGTGGAAGAGCCACACTCAAGGGGCCAAAGAGCTGCATGTGGCTCACGAGCCGCGGTTTGCCGACCACAGGTCTAACCTGTCTGAACATTGGAATCATTTCCTTCAAGCATTGACTTGATTGTTATTCTCCTGTCCAGAACCTTTCAGTGACTTCCCATTGTCTATTGAAAAAGTATAATAAGCTCTCCCTGTGCCTCAGTGAATTCATGATACTCTGTCCTTCCATTTGTGGTTCTGTGTCATCCTCCTCTGCCTGCTCACCAGGTTTGTCCCCCTAAAATCCCTGTGAAGACTTCATTTCAGCCGATGGTGTCTGCAAAGCTTCATCAATCTCCGAGGTGGAATTCTGTATTCATATGAACTCATATTTTACTTATTTCATGCACCTGACATTTATCTTTAACTGCTTTTTATTGAAGTTGTTGTTATTATTATTGCATCTAAATTATATGCTTCTCAAGGATAGAGTATGTGGATCATATTTTTAATGCATACCAGTTTTGGACTTAATAAAATATTGAATGAATGTATAATGAATCATAATAATGCCTGCTAATATTAATCAAGTTTGATGTCTTCAGGAGGAAGGCTGTAGCTGAATGGTTTAATCATTTTATTTAATCCTCATGAAAGATGTTTTTGAAACTTTACTAAAAAGTATTATGTGTCAAGTCAAGGTCAGTTTCACCAGTATTAAACTTGTTCTCTTACGTGTTTTTTTTAATCCTCACCCGAGGATATTTTTTACCCCATTGATTTTTTTAGAGAGAGTGAAAGGGAGGGGTAGACACAGACAGAGACAGAGAAACATAAATGTGAAAGAGACACAGGTTGGTTGCCTCCTGCACATGCCCTGACCAGGGACAGCCCTTGACCAGGAATCAAACCTGGACCTTTCAGTCCATGGGCCAATGCTCCAACCACCCAGCCAAACTGGCCAGGGCTATCTTATGTTTTTATAAGAATAGCTGCCCTTCCTAGAAAGTAACTCCCTGGGACCCATGGACATTAAGTCTCTCTCTTGTAACTTCTATGTCTGTTCTCTAAGGTGCTCCGCAAGGACAGGATAAAAGAAAAATGTTACACTTTTTAAAAGAAAGATCTTGAAATAAACCCAAGAACATAATGTACAAGTCATAGTTTTTTTTCTTATTTAATTTGGAAGGTCTCACTGAATATAATTTACATAATTCCCTTTGAAATTAAGGGAAGTATATGTTTTTAGTGATTATGTAATAAATAACAACAATTTCATAGACTTCTTAGAGTTCAGAGTACTGCTCATTTAGTTATCTCAAGATGATGAAATGCCTAGCAGATTGTTGGTGAAGTTGGGAAGTAAACCCACTTTTTATTTTTCCAGATAAAGAGTTATTTTTTATTTATTTTTTCATAGTAAAGGCTTAAG